ACGATAGTGGCACCCATAACCAATTGCCTAAAGAAGGGAGAACTCCATTGGACTTCATTGGCCACTAAAGCATTCAATGAGATCAATAAGAGAATGGTCGAGGCACCAGTTATACATCTTCCTGATTTTTCTAAAGTCTTTGAAGTAACCTGTGACGCGTCTGGTATTAGTATAGGAGGAGTTTTGTCGCAAGAGGGACACCCTGTGGCCTATTGTAGTGAGAAGCTGAACAATATCAGGCAACCGTACTCGACCTACGATAAGGAGTTTTACACGATCATTCAATCCCTTAAGTATTGGAGACATTATCTTCTTCCCCAAGAATTTGTTATCTTTTCGGATCATGAAGCCTTACGATATATTAACTCTCAGAAGAAGCTTAATGCCTAACACGGACGACGGGTTGAAATCCTATAAGAGTATACCTTCACCATCAGACATAAAGCAGGATCCGAAAATAAAGCAGCCGACGCTTTAAGCCGTAGGATGATGGTTACTCGCGAGATGAGGACTGAAGTTATTGGATTTGAGCGCATTAAAGAAGATTATAAGGATTGCCCCGATTTTAAAGAAACATACTTACTTCTGCTAACTGGAGAACATCAGATCATTGATGCTTTCCTAGTTGAAGACAAATATTTGTTTAAATCCTAGAAACTCTGTATTCCCAATACCTCACTCCGTGAATTTTTTGTTTGGGAACTACATGCTGGTGGTTTAGCTGGGCACTTCGGTCAAACCAAGACAATCGCTGACATTGAAAATGAATTTTATTTGTCGAGTCTTAAGCGGGATGTTAGAAGATTAGTGAAACGGTATCACACCTGTCAGTTGGCCAAACAAAGAAAACAAAACATAGGCCTTTATACACCACTCCCTATACCCAATTGTCCATGGCAAGATGTGAGTATGGATTTCGTCCTCGATCTACCCAAGACTGTTAGAAAACATGACTCCGTGTGTGTGGTTGTGTATAGGTTTTCCAAGATGGTACACTTCCTCCCTTGCTCGAAAACGTTTGATGCTTCCAGAATCGCCAAATTGTATTTTGATGAAATTGTCAGACTTCATGGGTTACCTAAAACCAAAGTGTCAGATCGATATGTAAAATTCACTAGCTATTTTTGGAAGACGTTATGGTTCAAAATGGGCACTAAACTACAATTCTCAACCGATTTCCACCCCCGACGGATGACCAGATGGAAATGGTAAACAGGAGCCTGGGTAACCTCCTAAGGACCTTGGTAGGTGAACACATTAGAGATTGGGATTCTAAGTTGCCTATTGCCGTGTTTGCTTATAACAATTCCGTTAACCGAACCACGGGTTTGAGTCCAGCAGAAATTATGTACGAATACCAACCTAGGCAGCCAATAGATTTAATCCCAATGGGTCATAAGTCTAGAGCATCTGAGTCAGCATCTGCATTTGCATCACATCTATAATAATTGCATAAGAAAATTAATAAAAAGATTGAACAAAGAAATGCTAACTATTAAGGTAATGCGGACCTCAAGAAACAATTTAAAGAATTTGAAGTGGGAGACTTTGTAATTGTTCGAATTCGTCCGGAGCAGTTCCCGCAAGGGGCCGTTAAGAAATTACATGTGAGAAGTGTAGACCTTTCAAAATAACATTCAAAATAAATAGTAACGCTTATGTGCTAAACATTCCCGAGGGTTTTAACATTAATCCTATGTTTAACATTGAAGATCTTGTAGCCTTGGAGGGTCCAGAGTTTAACCCCACCAATCCATTATATACTGAGCCTTGTGTGAACCTACTTGGTGAGAACCCCAACCTACTTCCACTCCAAAACATTCCCACTTTACCCACTATGGAGAAGATTGAGGCAATACTTAGCGATGAAATTATTTTCACTAAAGACGGCAGTCGCCAAAGGTATATAGTTCAATGGGCAGGGAAGCTGGAGACGGAGAACACGTGGATCGACCGGGATGAGCTAAAGAGATTGGAACCTGACCTACTGGAGTGGTACGAGAGTTCTAGAGATGCTCACTCGACAGGGTCGAGTTTTCTCCCACCTGGGGAGAATGATGAGGACATCAGTCCGAGATTTCGACATGTGTACCGCCGTCGGAGTTATAGATCGACGGCTACGATCCAGAGTCTGTACTTTTGATATGTTTTGTATTTTATGTATTTTCTTTTTCTACTTTTCCTAGTTTACCCATGTGGGTAGTGAGTCGCTATTCTAACCCCGAGGGAATTTGCGTCTTTATGTTTTTATTAATGAAGTTTGATTTGTTTCTTAGTGATCTCTTTGTGAGTTCATGATAGCCAAGAAGCCTAGAAGTGGCCAAGGAAATACCCAATAGTTCATCTACAAGTGAGCTCTTGGTTTTTTTAGTTTTTGTCTCCTCATCCCACCTTTCCTCTCCATATCGCCGGCAACCCTTAACCCCTCTCCTTTAGAGTCCAATGTCGGGCATTTACTTCAAGATTTATGTAAGTTTTAATATATACAGCGTGAGGCGTAAGCCTCATGCCAGTGAGGCGAGGTGGGCCTCAACCAAGTTGAGGCGCAAGCCTCATAAAAAAAACTCGAGGCGTAAGCATCGAGGTGTTTTTTATTGGAATTGCGCAAAGGCGGGCCTCAAGGCGAGCCTCATATTGCGCAATTTTAAACCATGCACGACGCCAAAACCCTTCCATGATCATGTATGGCCGATCTAGAGCTTGATCACGGATTTATGTTCAACTCTCAAGGGGAGATCGACATCATCCAATCACCATTCTTCGACGTTGGATTCGGATTCGACCACATCGTTGAGGAATACCTCGATCGTATTCTTTTCCATCTAGCGGACGTCATCGACGAACAACGACCTACGGGAGAGTGGAAGATCACTGGAAGCCCACACGCTCCGCCAACTACGGCTCCTTCTCCGGCGACCAGCCCCCTTGGCATCACATGTCTACTAGTGGCATCCCTAAGCTTGTTTGCAATCTTCTTCCGCTAAGCCGAGCCATATCAAGAGTGTAAGTGAGGGATCCCAAGGTGAATGATATAAATTTTAAACTATGGATTTTGTTATGTGCCATTCGCTCTACTCATTTATTTGATGATATAATTTTGCAAGTTTCCTATTAATCTCTATTGTAATAACTTGTCAACACTTAGCCCTTCCATTAATTTTTCCGAAGATCTAACTTGAATACGCATCCATTTATGCTTAGCCAATCAAAGTTCACAATTTATTAATTTCGTATACGCAATTCTTGTTTCATCTTCATTGTATTACATCACCTTACAACCCCGTTTAGGAGTTGCATGTAGTTTGGATTTGGGTCGGGACTTACGACTTTCACTAAAAATAACCCGTATAGCGGGTCTTACAGCTTCCCTTGGAAGTAACCATATAGATTTGGGTTTGGGGTTATTCACTTAGAAGCTTCCCAAGCATGTGAGCCTTATAACTTCGCTGTCCGGCTGCCTGCAGGGTCGCGTGAGAGTCGCCAGATGAGCCATGAGGCACGATGGGTAGGGCCTGCCGGCAACAACGATGGCCGATGGACTAGACAAGGACTTGTGACCGGACGACGAATGGACCAACAGCCTCGTGATGGACGGACGCGACTGGGTTGACTATCGAGAGTCTCGAGACTGACGCAATGACGCGATGGACAAAGTGACTGACGCTACAGACGTGGGAAACAATCAACATCTTCAGATTTCCTGGGTCAAATTGGATTGATTTTGGGTTTCCGGGCAACCCGATTTGCAAACGGGTCGAAAACTCGAACCCGAGCTCGACCCATATGATAAAAGGGTTGATATGAACCTGGAATTTTTCGGGTTGTGTTCGGGTTGGATTTCAGGTCGTGTCAGATTTTGACACCTTTAGCTACAAGCTTGGTGTACATGCAATAGTAGCAATTAATGGGAATTGAACTGCCCTAAAACAACCATGCAAAATAGCACACTTATGGTTTCTCGACTCAAGTAATGAGCTATAGTTCAGGTCACAAATTTTAAATGAAAATGTGACGAATTGAGGATAATAGTGCATTAATATATGGCCCGAATCCACCTCAATAAAAGAAGAAAAGGTTGGAACATTTCTGCTTCACATAGTAATGATAATGGCTGAGAAGGATCCGCCAAGCTAACAAAGATGCATCAAACATAGCAATGTCTTTACACGTCACTCTTATATAGCAATTCCAATTATGCTCATCTAATTGTTTTTCAAGAAAGAATATCATCATTCAGTCAGGTTATTCAACATCAAGTAATTGTTGCTTAAAGTTTTTTTAACATGTCGAAAACCTGTGACCCCTAATTTTTTATTTCCTCACCTTATCTACCATAAATCTCTCTTATTCTCCCCTTGATGCCACGCTAACCAATGTGAGAGCAAACAAAATAAACTTTAAGATTCTAATAAAAAGAGAAAACCCTTCTCATCAACGATATCATCTTTATGTGAAGAAGTAGAGAGATTATCTTCCATAAATCATGCAACATTTAAATATATTAGAATTACCCACAAGTTTTTATAAATAACGGCAATATAAAAAATAAAAATTCAGTGAAAAACAACATGCGAGACTACTAAAAAAAAGGACTTAGGGGTAACAAATTTGAATCATAAAATGAATTAAGACACATGAAACATAACCATAACTCTTAGAAGCTTATTGCAAACCACCTTACAAATTAAACAAATTAAGACACTAAGTACTCCACTGCAAATTTTCTTAGACGTGTATGCAGAAAAAAAATGGAAAATAGCTATCCAGCATCTTCGAAACAAGAAATTACAAAAGAATATACCTCACCAAAATTAGTTTAAAAAAAAAAAAAAAACAGCGAAACAAAAAAAAGTGCTTACTTGCTAGTCTTTCTGCCCCACAAGTAACATACTAGGACAGGTAAAGTACAATTGATAAGCATTCTAAGAGAATCTTTAAATCATTAAAAACATTATGGACATAACAGAAAAACAAAAAAGATGAAGTTGTCAAAATAATACCTGAACCTTATCGCTCCCTAAAATTTGTGTTATTCTGCCTGACCAAAAACAACCATCACACCACCAATCAACTAAATCCCCAACTTTCCAAGAGTCATTAACAATGACTATCACATCAGATTCTGGAAGAACATCTGGTAGTTCACTCTTATGACAAAAAGGTGGATAGCGAGGGCGTACCATTGGCTCAAATTTATCATGTAGACCTACTCCTTGGTTTGCATAGGGGGGCTTTTGATACAGTTTTGACCATCTTACTCCTGCATGCAGAAATATATAATCAATCAAATCAATGAGATTAACCATCTTGACCATGTTCATATAAAATAAAATATTAAGATAATGAATAAACGAACAAGATCTAATAAAGGAAAGTTTCCAAAATGCATGCCAAATATATAAATTTTCAAACATGCATTGAAGTCCAAATTTATCAATCACATTTAAAACTTGTATCATATGATAGAAAAGGACAGAGAAAGAGAGTAGAAGTAGAAGAAAAAGTGAATTAACCAGAAACAAAATAAAAAGATCAATTTTAGAATTCAATTCATATTATAAATCCTTATTGCCAAACCAAGGCTTGGTCTCAAAGAAATTACCAAAATCATTTCTCAGGATTACCAAATTTTGATGATAAAATTCCCTGAAAAGTGCGTCTTTGACCATTTTTGGGTTTATGAAGAGGTGCGTGCAAAAAGCCAAACGTTGGATTCAAGTGAGAATATTTCAATAATTAAAGCCTATGAATTCTATGTCAAGGCAAGCGATCCAACCATTACACCAGCGTGTACACAGTTTAAAAAGGTATTCAAAGTACATGCTTCATCACGTAGTGCGCAAAAACTACCTAGAAACTTGCACCTTTGTGGTCCAAGTGAGGCATGTACTTCTTTTGTTTGAGGTTATGCCTCAAGGCATTTTAGGTGACACCTCAAATTAATGCATTAATAGAAGTTAAAAAAAAATTGTTCTATAATATACCAAAGACAACTTATATCCTATTTAAGATTTTTAAATTAAAATTGCGAGAGTCAATTGAGAGTCCACAAGCGGAAAGAATAGTGCAGTGATAGAGAGGGTTGCAAATAGGAAGAACTGCACCTACGAGTAGTCTACAACATGCAATCGGGAGGAATGTAAGGGTTTTGTAGACGCCTAATCACGATTGATTAAGATTTCTTTTCTTTTCCTCTGGAAAAAAATAATAATTTCTTTAGCGTATTTTCCTTATTTTCTTGTAACAATTTCTTTTTTCAAGAGATATTATTTGTAAATTTTAATTTTATCTTTAAGCTTTCTTTTAAATATTTTTATTTTCTTTTTAACTATTTTTAAATTATTTTGTACAAATATTATTTTCTAACTTTTTTATGTTCATAATATGAATTTTTTTTAAATGTATATCTTTTTATTCATTTATGTTTTTTACTTTTCTGGCTGCTTTTATTTTCATTTTCTTATTCCCACGTTTAGCCTTATTTTAATGTTTTTTCATTTACTTTTTAACTTTTTTTATTTTTACTGATTTCTCTTTTCCTTTTATTTTAATTGGCTTTCTTTAATTTCTTTTAGAATTTAAGTTTTATTTTAAGAATTTTTCTTTTTTTGGTTTGAGGCTTATGTCATGATCTACCTCAAGGCTTTTACACCTCATCTTGCAAAGGCAAAATGCCTTGATTTCTGATTTCACTTTTTTAAACCAACATACATACTAACATAAAAGTTTAATGACCCAAAAACTAATGACTCCTAAGCATTCTTTTAAATTAGGTATTCGCTTACTAATTTCTATCCTAAAATATTAAAGAATAAAAGAATGTTCAAGTTGATGTAATACGCTCCATGAACCAAAATAGCAAACTAGTTATTTGATAATAAAAACCTTCTTTGGTGCCATCTAATGGTTTGCCTAAGTGCATTTATTGGTTTACATTTCACGAGGCTAACCATATGAATGTAGATCAGGTGGTAATCAAGCTTTAAGTATCAGACAAGCTCATATGGATAATCAATTCAAAATTGTAAAGAGATCCATAAAGATGAGCAAGAAAGCTCAAACAATCAAGTCCCTAGTTCAAACTTTATTTGTGTTTTTTTTTTTTACTTTTCTACGAACATTGTATGAAGTGCTAGAATGATAGATGTGGCTTCCAGGATTTTGGAAACGACTTCTCTTTAATTGTGTTTGGTTATTGTCATGATTTGATTGCATTTCCGTATCTATCAAGAAAATGACTTTGTGAATTGCATATGAATGAATCAACATGCATCGACCAATATTTCAATTTAAGTAGAAAGCATTACTTTTAACGAAAACCTACTTGAACATGTTCTTTTAAGACTAATTACACATGCGTTCCAATTTAAAGAGTTCTGAACTTGTAGTTATCAATTTTAAGGTTTCATGGTTTTATGAGTATAAAAGCCATGCTATAATTAGAGTTCTTTTTTTCCTTAAAGCATAATTTTAAAATAAAAAACAAACATATGAGCACACAAAGGATACTTACAAAAAATTGTAAGAGAAAACAGAAAATTACATAATATAAAATGGAGATAACATGATGGCAAAGGATGCAAATACTTCAAAAAAATAAAAAAACTGCAAAACACTAATTTGAAATGCCTAGTTTGAATCCTGATGAATACAAAGGAGTAACGATATTTTTTTTTTTTTTCATTTATACCCCATCTAGTAAACATGATTTGAAATCTCCAATCCACCAGGGTGTTAAGACTTTGAATATCCCCAACTGAATCATAATGCAATTGCGAATCATGATTATGAATGATTTTTTAAATCAAATGGAGATGGAGATGAGGGGCTATTAGAATTGGAGAATCAAGATCATTGATATTGTTTGTAGTTGATGTGGTAACAATAACTATGGGGTTGGCAAGGATGGGTACTTAGCTCTAATTCCACTGAAAAGTTAAAAATTGGATTCAAATTCTAAGAAGAAACCTAATATGATTAAAGAGGAACCAAAGTGACATAAGGTCGGATTTGATCATTTATATGTCTCTTACGCCTAGGAGTTTGATTTTATCAATTTTGTATGAATCTTAAAACATTCATAGTAATTGTGCCCAAAGATCTTGCATGAGGAATTACAGAAGGGTATGTCTTCAAATTGTACCTTCTACCAATAATTATAAGACAATGAGACAATTCACACCTCATTTTCAAGAGTAGTATTTCAAGAGTAGTACAATCAAAATCAATAGAACTATAGCCACATGGCCTAAAAAGATGAGCGATAACAACATTCAATTGTAAGGGTTTATCAAAAATATATCCCAAGGAGTATAACGTAGAATGATTGAAATAATGTAAATGAAGTCGAGAAAGTGCAACACAAATATGAGTGATAGATGATTTCTAAGAAAAGTAAAAATGTGGAGATCATTTTAACATTTGCCTAGGATATCCATTAACATAGTAGGATCGCCGATAGAAAAATCTGGTGTAATATAATTCTAAAGAGAATCTTACAAAGATGTAAAAAAAGGTTCAATGATCCCAATGGAGAAGTCACAAACCAAGTGTAAATTTGTTATGAATTTGTGAAAAACCTCCTTATGACAGACCAAAAAATTTGCCCACAATAGAAAAATTGATTGACAGGCAAACTCAGAGATTAACTCTTTAGTGAAAATAAGTGTTGGCTTACTTTGAAATGTTGATGGCTTCTTATGTTGAGAAACTAAATCTTGTTGAAAAATAAAGACAAATGGATGGGAAGAAGGGCATTGAATTCCTGAGGTCCTAAACCTCCCAACAACATTGATGAAGGATTTAGTGGTGTGAGGATGAGGAGAAGCAATATTCGAAGATATGTAATGAGGGATAGCCTTCTAACTAAAGAATTATTTGTTTATTAGGCATAAACATATGAAACATATTTAATATAATTGCATTACTTTTGTGTTTCAAGTTTAATGATTTCTGAGGTATATTTATAATTTCCATTTGATTTGCAGCTATGTTTACATTGCTTACATCATAGTTTGAAAAATAAAAATAACAGGAATAAATGTCTTTACACTCAAAATTCAAATACAATATATTTCAAATATCATATTGATTTCTCAAATTTCAACATTGGAGAAAATGTATTCATATCTTTTGAAGCATTTTTTGAAAATTTCTTAGATGTTATTCTGTTGAAATTCTATATTTCAATCAATTTTGAGGTGGGAGAGTAGGGATTTCACAAGGCTTCTTTGTCTGCATTATCAAAAGAAAAGTCCTAAATTTGCCTAGGGAGGTTTGTTTTGGATCTGAAAGTTGGAAGTTGGTGTAAAACCACATCAAATATTGATTTACAATGGCTTACTCTTTTAATTGCTTACAATCACTTCATATACTTCAAATTTCATCAACTATTAAAGCTCGTTAGTTTTTTCACTGAGAAGTCCTCAAACTAATCAGATAAAAAACTACAAATATTTTTTATTTGAGCTAAAAAGTAGTGAAAATTTGGAAGTACATTAGAAGCTCTAATTAGACTGCTACCATAGTAGCAATAATAAAATTTTGAAATTTGAACTTCAGCATTGGCTTAATCATTAGGATTCTTAATTAACAGAAGAAATATATCAAATTACCCAAAATTTTTCATTAGCAAAGACTTGAAATGGGTAGCAGAGGTCGCACCCAGAGCTTTCCAGGTATTTCGAATTTGCTCAAACTGACCAAATTCCAAATTCATAAAAAAATAAACATTTTAGGGTATTTCAAAACCATTGTGCAATTGTTATTATTATTATTTTATTTACTTCAAACCAAATAATAAAAAAATAAAAAATCCTCACATTCCATTTACTTTACACTCATAATACATGCAATCAAACAACCCCTAAATGATGGTATACAAGTTTTTAATAAATGTCACCAACTGCTAATTGCAGATTTTCACTGAGTATAATGCAACATGAAATAATTGGATTATTTTAGGTAGGCACAAATGGAGAATAGAGTAATATGCTATAACCCAAGGAGCTAAGATATTAAGTATCAGAAGGGAGAAAATGAAAAATGATGGACCAAAGATAGTGTAGATATTACAATCCATGATAACCAATCCAATCTATTTACTCTTGGCTCAATTTTAGATAAACCGATTCAAATGGATGCTGTTACTATTAAGTTAGTTATCTAGGCCATCACAGGCTAAGGTCCTGGTTAAAATGAACATTACTATCACTTTGGAGAAAGAGATTTGGATTAATTCCATTGGTCATGGCTATTGAG